ATATATATATACACACACAGACACACACACATACGGGATGGACACATTGATATGGAATCCAGGAGCCAGTCTCTTCAATCCAGGAGCCTTTAGGAGCCAGCTCCATTGACAACAACTAGAGAAAACCTTAAATGTTAGGCTCCAGCTGTAATTTGTAAGGAGCATTGGCTACCTGACTGCTTGGATTTGTCCAGCCCTGTGTATATATTAAAGCAGAGGTCTAGCACACAGGTCTGACCGTACCCTATCACCAGTAATTGTTGTACTTCTATGTGTTTAGTGTTCGTCCACTGCAATCTACCTGCAACACTTTACTATAAGACTTGCCTTTGCTCAGCGCTTGCATTTTACTTCTCCCCATACTGGTCCCTCCGTAACTGTTTCTCCTTTTCTTTTTATCAAGGCGTTGTTGGAAAACCAAGATGATGGGTAAATCAAGCCATTGTAGTTACGTGCTGCAACAACTCTACAACCAGAGAGAATGGGGATTTCTCTGTGACTGTTCCATCTCGATCAACGACATCTACTTCCAAGCTCACAAGGCGGTCCTCGCCGCCTGCAGCTCCTATTTCAAAATGATGTTCATCAATCATCAGCACAGCATGGCGCAGATCAACCTCACCAATACCAAGATCAGCGCGGAATGTTTTGACCTCATATTGCAGTTCATGTACCTGGGTAAGATTATGACCGCGCCGGAAAACTTCGAACAGCTAAAGGATGCCATGACTTACCTGCAGCTGTATGTTATCCCGGACTGCTTGGAAGAGATCCAGGATATCGATTCCTCCATTAAATGTTCCTCCTCTGCATCGAGTAGCCTAAGTAGTAAAATGGTCTTCGGAGTGCGTATGTATGAAGAATCCACGGGGAAGACTGGAGAGGAGCCAGGCAAATTTTCTTCAGAGCCCGTCTTATCTGTGCAAAATGTGTCTGAGAAACAGGCTGAGAACAGTTTGCCGCATCACAGCCGGCAACAGCCTAGGAGTTTGTGCAAGAAGACACCTCCGCCAAAAGTTCATAACACCAGAGAACGCGGAGCCAGGCGCTTCGGACGCAGTTATACTTGCGAGGGTTGTGGATTTGTGTTCAGTTGTGAAAAGCTGCTGGATGAGCACTCTCAAACCTGTACCAACAGGCTGTTTTTCCACGGCAGGGAACAGATGAACAACGAGCAGAGCCAGAGTGGAAGCGAATCACCCTTGTCGAAGTTTTCTCCTTCACAAGACAACGTGAACAAAGTGGACTCCAGTCAAACGATGGAAGAGGCTGCGGAAAGTACAAAAGACTCCGAAGCCGCGGTGGACCAGATGAAGGGCGATACCATAGACACTACGGTGAAGAACCCAGTTATTATAAAAATTGAATCTGATGAGAACTCCCTCGCGGAAATGGATGACATCAACATCGTTAAGATCTCAGACAAAGATTATTTGGAATCTTCCGACATTGACGATTTGGAGGACGATGCAGATGAAGGCGCTTACTACATCGGTATACCGTGTAACCAAAGAACGAACGATAACTTAGCTATGAACTCACAGCAGATGTTTGCGAGTTATAGAAAAGATATGGGGTGCGCGAATCGGAAAAGAAGTAATGCCGCTCAGCGCAAGTCAGAGATATCATGTGAACTTTGCGGCTTGACTCTTAACGAGCAGGACCTCTCGGCTCATTACCTAGCCAAACATATAGAAAATATATGTGCGTGCGGTAAGTGCGGGCAAATTCTGGTAAAAGGTAGACAGTTGCAAGAGCACGCTCAGAGATGTGGGGAACCTCAAGAGTCTTTTGAGAACCACGAGAGGAGCATGGATGAGAGAGTTGATTTCGGAGATGGCATGGAAGAGTCCTCTGCAGTGGGAGAGGTATTGGTAGATATGTGGGATGACATAAATGAGGGTGCGGTTACTGTACCAAAGCAGGTTTATAAACATTCCTCCTGCCCTTACCGTTGTCCCAATTGTGGCCAACGTTTCGAGTCTGAAAGCCAGGTGATGGAACACATGTCCCAATGTATGGAACGTGACGTCTACAGGAATTCTGCTTCCGATGACATAGATCGGGACCACCGGAGAAAACACTTCTGTGACATCTGCGGCAAAGGCTTCTACCAACGTTGCCACTTACGGGAACATTATACCGTACACACCAAGGAGAAGCAGTTTTCATGCCAAACCTGCGGGAAGCAGTTTTTAAGGGAGCGGCAGCTAAGGCTGCACAATGACATGCACACAGGCATGGCTAGATACATTTGCTCACTTTGCGACCAGGGGAATTTCCGGAAACACGACCACGTACGCCACATGATATCCCATTTAGCAGCGGGGGAAACTATATGTCAGGTGTGCTTCCAGATTTTCCCAAGTAACGACCAGCTAGAGCAGCACATGGACACCCACCTCTATACTTGCGGAGTTTGCGGGGCAAAATTTAACTTGAGAAAAGACATGAGGGCACATTATAACTCTAAGCACTTCAAGAAAGCTTAGGGACCTCCATGTGAATAGAGTTTCTTATAGTGTATACCAAAGCTTTAATTGTTAACATAGGACTTATATAAACATAGATTTAACCCAGGAAGCCTGCACATCTCTTTGACTTAAATATAGATGAACTGTTTTTATTGATGGGGAAGGTTTCTAAGCATCCTTGCAAAGTACAGGCAACATCCATCTGACAATTGAACTCCAGACATGTACTTTTCTTTTGTATATTATTATTATTTTACTTTTCACTATATTTCAATGCTGACTGGTAGAGAGTACATCAGGGTACATTTTATATGTTGCATAGCTACGAATGAATGTAATACAGAACTCCTGCCCCTTACATACTGTTACTTAGCATGAATCCTTGTTACATTTTGGAATTTCGAATGGGTGTGATGAATTTCTGCTGCATTATCCGGAGTACCATTGCTGTAAAACATAGTCTATTTATATTGGTTTATTACAAATAGTAATCATAAAGTAGATCAAACAGTGTGTCGTTTTGTAGCATTCCTGTACACGTCTATGCAAGCCTTGCTGGTTACACATTGTAAAGCAGATCTTCACCCTGAAAAAAACGCTCCCCTTAAGGCCTCATTCACACGGGTAACGACCGGCACGTACAGCTCCCGGGAAGGACAGGCGCTGCGTGTATGGGAGTACGCGGCCGTACGCTCACCCAACCTGCCCGTCCGTACGGGTGCGGGTGTTCATACTCATACGCTGAGAGGATGGATCCTGTCTGCGTCCCAGCAGGGACACCCGTACCCGTACGACCGCGTACTCCCATAGAGAAGGACAGGGGCTGCTTACTAATCACATGCAGCACCTGTCCTTCCCGAGAGCTGCCCGATACGGCCGATGCGATGCACGGATCTGTTTTTGGTTTGTTTACTCCTATTTTATTATGTTCTGGCCGAGCTCCTGTCCTCCTGGGATGTATGATGTGCGTATCCCCGGAGGCACAAGGCACAGAGCTTGTCATGCTCGCCTTAGGCACATCATACATCCCAGGAGCTACTTGCTTCCATACAGCGGACCAAATAGGAGGGTGGGCCGGCTGGCTAAACCCAGAAGAGACACTGGATCTCGATGACGTCAGGGAAGAAGATGACGACGCAGGACCTGTTGTATGGTATGGCAGTGGAATTCTGATCACAGCAGGACAGTCCTGTATTCACTGGGTGGGATTGTATGTGAATTAAAGAATTCCAGGTAAACATTTTATTAACCCTTGCATTGGGGCTACCCTGCAAGTGTTAAGTGCTCATTTCTTCCCAGGGTCAAAAATAAAGTTATGCTCACCTGATCCTCGGAGCCGGCCTGCTCTTAGAGTAGACCCTGGATCCCCTCCCCCTCCGCTCCAGCCGTCTATGGTTCCTGAGTCATCACATTTTATAAACAGTAGTACATGAGGAGCAAGGACCGTATCATTGCTGCAGAGGAGGAGACAGGCAGGAGGGAGCGCTCTAACAGCCGGCCGACACGGAGGGTCAGGACTTGTTCACACCACGTCTGTGAAGCTGCATTTTTCTGCACACCTCCACCACACATGTATGGTGTGAACGGAGCACATAGGAAACAATTGTTCACACCATACATGGGCTGTGTGCAAATAATACAGCTCAGTGGATATGGTATGATCATGTTCTCGCAGGGGGTTTAAAAAAATATATAAAGTTCCTCTTTACTTAATAAGGTGCTAAGCAAAGTGCAATGACTATGTATAAAGTGCAGTAATGAATAGCAGGCTATCAGAATTCTTACTTTTGTAAATTGACTTTTGATTTGTTGCTCTGAGCACCTTTTAAACAGTAGTCTGTGCCTATGTACATTGGGGGGAGCTCAGGCTGTTTTACATGTGCAGTGCAAAGTGTCTGAATAAGACATGCTCCAGTTCAGATGATTCGCAATGACGAAAGAAAAGTTTCAGCGATTTCTTCTTGAAAGAGAGTTCTAAAATGAGACATTCCCCGAGAGACATTTTGAGGCATGGTACAGGAGTGCAACAGAGATGTAGTAGGTCAGGTAAGGAGCGGAGAGGGATTATACTGTACAGAGTGTGTGTGAGTGAGTTCATTAGTGTAGGCGGTATTGGTCTTCTGTATATGAACCCGGCATGATCATTTCAGTTTCATTATCGATCAATATATTACAAAAAGGCTAAAATAATGATTAGCGACTTATGAGTGACATATCTCTGCCAAGCACACTAAATACTCAATTCAGTAAATATCGATGGAACGGCTGATCTTTAAAAACAGGTTGTTTCTTAGGCCCGGTTCACAACTGGGCGTTTTGTAGCGCGTTCGAACGTGCTGCAAAACGCTCAAACACCGAAATCCCATTATTTCCTATGGGTATGGTTCACAACTGGGCGTATTACAGGCCGTATGAACGCACTACAAAACGTCCTACGCCCAAAGAAGTACAGGAGCTTCTTTGGGGCGTTTTTGTCGCGCGTTTCCATTGGGATGCTGCCAAATAGCCATCGGAAATGCGTGTTTGTAGCGCGTTTTTTTACTGTGAATCGCGGTAAAAACACGCAACAAACGCGCATATTCGATATGCCTAGGTGTGAACCCAGCTTTAGAGTGCATTCTGGGTATCGCACAAGCTAAAATCATCTGTTGCAGCGTGCAGGCTGGTGTCTGTGAGCTGGCGTTGAGGGGTGGTGCCTTGCCAGTTTACAGAGTGAGATATGGTTGGGTGCCCTTGTGGAGATTTGCATTGCTTCTGTGCTTAAGCAATTACCACATTGTGGCCACTAGATGGAACTGAGGAACATAGGAAATAAATACATATTAGTAACGAGATTCACTGTTCCAATTTTAGAGAATGCTGGAGGGAATTAGTATATCAATGTATCCATTGCTACTATGGGGATAACAATGGTTACATGGATATGCTCATTCTCCCCAGCTTTCTCTTGAATTGTAACATTGTATCTTGTTACAGAAAATGGTTGTGTGCCCTTGTGGAGGCTTGCATTGCTCTGGTGCTTAAGCAATTACCACATTGTGGCTACTAGATGGAGCTGGGGAACATAGAAAATATATACATATTAGTAATGAGATTCACAGGGTCACTCACTAAAGGGTGAAGAGTTTGGAGGAGGGAGGAGATGTGAACAATCTAGGACAAAATTGCTGATTTGGAAACATTCTCCAATTCAGCTCACTTTCCAGTTCAGCTATGTTGTCCTAGATTGTTCACTTCTCCTGCCTTCTCCAAACTCTTCACCCTTTTGTGAATAACCCTGTCAGTGTTCCAATTTTCGAGAACGCTCGAGGGAATGAGCATATGAATGTATCCATTGCTACTACAGGTATTACAGTTGTTACATTGATGCACTCATTCTCCCCAGCCTTCTCTTGAATTGTAACATTGCATCTCGTTTCTAACATGCATTTATTGCCTATGTTCCTCAGCTCTGTCTAATGGCCATAAAGCAGAACATTTACTCTGTTTTTCATGAATTAACCTATTAGAAGAACATTTGACCAGCACAGCAGCCGTCTTGCACAGAACGAATGTACCTGCAGTGTCACTGGATAATTAACCTATGCAATTTTGCATTTTTTTTAAATAGATAGACCATGTTGCATAAACAAGCCAAGCCCT